AGTGTTGCTAAACTCTACAATATTCCTGAAACAATACTTCGGAATCGAATAAACGGTTTAACCCTGCTATAGGAATATCGATCATTAACTCAAAAATTAACTAAATTAGAAGAAGAAGTGATTCTTTAATATATCCTTGATATAGATATACAAGGATTTGTCCCTTGATTAAATGGTGTGGAAGATATAGTGAATAATATTCTCGATATTTATGAAATACATTATGTTGGAAAGCTCTAGGTGCATCGATTTGTACAATGCTGGCCAGAATTAAAGATATGTTTTAATTATGTTTATGATTTCCAAAGAGCTTTTTACAAAAATCCAAAGTTTATTGAAGGGTGGTTTCGATTAGTATCAAATATACAAATGAAATACAGTATTCTCGATTGCGATTTCTACAATTTCGATGAAACAGGCTTTATGATAGGTATTATATACTTTGGGATAATTATAACTAATACTGAATAATATAGCAGAAACAAAGCAATACAACTAGGTAATCGAGAATGGGCTATAGCAATTATATATATCAATAGTATAAAAGAAAGTATTCCTTTATTTTTAGTGATTAAAAGCAAAAATCACTTCTCGAGTTGGTATACTAAAAGTGATCTCCTATTTGATTAGGTGATTAAAGTTATTAATAATAGATAAACAAACAATAAGACAGGTTTAGAATGGATTAAACACTTTAATAAGTATATTATTGCTCGAAAACAAGGTGGTTATCGAATGCTAGTATTAGACAGACACGAAAGCTACAAATCGATTGCATTTTAAGAATATTGCAAAGAATATAATATTATAATTCTTTCATTACCTTTTCATTTTTTGTATATTACTTAATCACTCGATGTCAAATGTTTTAGTGTTTTAAAACGAATATATGATCAACAAATTGAAGAATATATTAAGGCTTATATCAATTATATCACCAAGGTCGAATTCCTTATAGCCTTCAAAGCAACATACCTACAATCAATAACTGTTCAAAATAGATTATCTGGATTCCGCAGAGCTGAATTAATACCCTTTGATCCTCAAGCTGTGATTTCTAAGCTAGATATCAAATTACGAACACCTATGTTTATCAGATTCTCCTTTGTAGAGCTCAATCCTTGGGTTTCTCAAATACCTTACAACTCGAATGATACTCTTTCACAATCAATCTTAGTTAAAAATCGAATTGTACAATATCAAGGAAGCTCTCCTATATCTATATTTGAAATAGTTACAGCTTTAACTAAGGGTACAGAGATATTAGCTCATGAGATAACACTTATAAATGCTAAGATTTGTATTCTTCGAAAGGCAAATGAGGTATTGAGTAAATATTGTAAAGTTAAAAAGAGTCGAATTTGTTAAGGAGAAACATTTAATATACAAGATAAATATAATATTATATTATAGACTAATATAGATAATCAGATTCGATGTGATGAATGTTTTAAGAGGGGTAGTTCAAATGGGGAACAATCAACTTTACATTGTTGTGGCTCTTGTAGTAAAACTGGTCATAATATACAAACTTGTCAGGAGGATTTAGAAGACTCTAGTTTATCAGATTCTGAAT